TCCTGCTGCATTATTTTCTAACATAAGGATGCCACCTAGTGACAATAACTGCCTGCTTTTTAAATTGGACCTAAGAAATTTTTAATCTAAATCCACAATGATATGAAATATATTATTCTCCATACTTGGTCAGTTGAGGGGAATTTCAGTCATACATAACTAAAAGGTAGAATTATTGCTGGTATTTGACCAAAGTAAGATGTATCCAATATCATGATTTTAGATTGGTCAGAAATAGGCTGGATTTTTGAACACACATATGATCCACTACATATAGATTTTCAAAAGTTATAGCATATTATTTTTAATATTTTTCTCTGCTTGTATAATTTGCTAATGCTACGTAAACCATTTAGAGATAGCACCCAATTTCTGCTCCCATAATTTTTTGGAGAAATATTCATCATTAGTTGTGCAGGTTACATAAGATTTCTTTTCCTGTCCCTACTCAGGCGAATATTATAAGGCTATGAAAAGATGTTGCTCCTGGATCACAGTAAGACAGGCACTTTTTCTCTGTCCACTGAACATCTAAGCCTCTCAGCAATCAAGTTACACTCAAGTGGTAATTATTCCAGTTTAAGTGAAACAGCTTCAGTAGGCTAAGCATGGCCAGTGAGTCGAGTCCACTCTACTCTGCCCTGGTGAGGCCACTTTTGGAATACTGTGCCCAGTTCTGGGATCTCCAGTTCAAGAAGGACAAGAAACTACTGGAGAAAGCCCAGTGTAGAGCGACAAAGGTGATGAGGGGACTGGAGCATCTTCCATACACGGAAAGGTCAAGAGAGCTGGGTCTGTTTAGCCTGGAGAAGAGGAAACTGAGGGGGATCTCATTAATGCTTATAAATATCTAAAGGGTGGGTGTCAGGAGAATGAGACCAGATTCTTCTCAGTTGTGCCCAGTGACAGGACAAGGTGCAATGGTCACAAACTTGAAAACAAGAGGTTCCACTTAAACATAAGGAACAAGTTATTTACTTGAGGATAACAAAGCACTGGAACAGGCTGCCCAGAGAGATTGTGGAATCTCCTTCTCTGGAGAGATTCAAAACTTGCCTGGAGGTATTCCTGTGAGATCTTCTCTAGGTGATCCTGCTCTAGTAGGTGGGGTTAGACTAGATGGTCTTCAGAGGTCCCTTCCAACTCTTAATATTCTGTGATTCTGTGATCCTGTGGCTGGAAAAACCCTTCAGCTTAATAAAGCATGCTTGTTTATAGAAATCACTTCTAAGGTACCAGGTACTGCTCCTTATCCCTCCAGCTGGGGACATAAGTCCATCCAGCCATCCAGTGTTTCTGGAATGTGCTTCATTAATTAATCTTTCATTCAGCTGTGTTTTTCACAGAGCCAAATCTGATAACTATGCACATGAAACATTCCACTGTTTGAGCTCCAATCTGTGAATTCAGGTATGATTTATCCTTGAACTATAACCATGCAGTGTAGCCCAAAACAGTGGTTTGGTGCAGCTACCATTTTTTTTCCCCTTTGCACTGCATCCTCTGAAACCTGCTGCTGCATTTTCATCCTGTTTTCTGGCTCCTCACAAATTCTACTCATCTCTTCCAGTTCTGGAACCAAGGAATTTGTTGCTAGCAAGAGCAGGACATATCTAGAGGTGACCAGAAGTAAACCACTGGTTAGATTCTTTGCACTGGTAAAAATTTAGGTGCTAACAAAGGGTAGGTGTCTCTAGGGCCAGATACTAACTGAATGACAGTGGGGTCTTTGAACTTAGGTGTCTGATGTGGCAGATGTGATTTGATGTTAATTTAATGCCTTCATGTTTTGTCTGCGAATCTATCTGGACGTCATTAAGTCAGTTTTAAAAATGAGGCCAAGCAGGTGAATAAAATTTATAATTCTTGTCCTCATGCTGTTCCAACTGTGAATGTTGCAGTGCTGGTAGAACCAATGTCCGTAGTCTCTTAGACTATATGTAACTTACTCGTCTTCTTACCTGAATCTGAGCCATATATATAATGCAGTTTCTATCATACACAATGAAATTAATAAGTAAAGCATTATCAGATGATTTTGTTTTGTTTTTTCTTTTTGTTTTTTAATGTGTGATCTGCAGGTGGTGAACTTTTTACTGGTCTCTACAGTGACTACTGGGGAAGAGATGCTGCTCTGTTTCGCACCATGAATCGCATGGCTCATCTTCGAACTGAACCTGATAGTGAGCGTCTGTTAAAAGGTATGGGAAGGAGGAGAAAGAAGAACACAGAGTCAGAGGTGTTTCAGATGACTATAGAATTTCTGTTTAACTAGAAATTCAAGTGATATTGTTCATGCATAAGTATATCCATTTGGAGGTGAATTTGTTTAAAATATCTTTTTTCCATTAATTTTTCATTAACCTCCTGCTGGATTGAACATATTGAAATCAATTTTAAAATTGCTTTTAGTTTATAATTTGTATATTCTGTACTGTTTCATTCTAAGCCAGATACGATTAAAATGATATTTTTAAATTCTCTATTTAATTAATGGGAGCTTCTGATTAGAACACAATACTTTTTTTCCTACATGAGATTTTTTTTTTCTTTATGTTGCAATAAAACAACTCAATATTTACCAAGTAGTGTAATGAAGATAAATCATGCAATAACACAAAATAATAAATATACAATTGTACCATCAAATGAAATAAAAAGTTAAAGGAGATAATTTTGAAGAAGAAAAATAATATATTTTACAAGAAAAATATTAAGAAAAATCATGTGCTGGGAAATTTAGAATTTGTTTCATGGTCTTCAATGTGAAATGTGACTGAATTTCAAAGTGTTGACATTTCTGTGAAATGGAAAGTCAAAATCTTGATTTGTTTTGCTCCAAAAATATTGCAACATTTCATCACAACATTGACATAACTGTTGCTAAGGTCCCTTCCGGAAAGTCAATAATTTCCTTTTATGGTGATTCATGTGGTGAGCATCAGCTTTTAAGGAAAAGGATATAGAAGCTTTTTCTCTCAAATTTCAAGGCAGTTTTCTGCTGAATCAGAAGAGAGACGATAATTCTGTTTCATACTTCTTCCAACATGCATCTGACCTCAGATATGAATGAAATTATTGTTTTTAATATGTTTAGAACATCCTTAACTATTCTGTAAGTCCAATACTTTGAGTTTTTCTGAACTGAGTGTTTAGACTGGCTATATATGGGTAGCAGCAAGCAACTGGATATTCACAACATGCAAGTTAAGTTTCTATTCTGTTCTCTCTGGAATATTTCATTATTTTAAAAGTAGAATTCTCTAAATTATTACCTCAAACTTGGCTTTTAATCTGGTTTATACTTGAAATTTAAATTTGCAGAAAGTAAATATTTTAAATGTATATAAAAAAAACACTTCAGAAAATTAGCAAGTGCTATATCAATGTCTTAAAATGTAATGACTGTTTTCATAAAAATATTACAAAATATTTACATAACCTACTGCTTCTTAAGAAATACTAATTATATGAATTACATTCTCATTTAAAGAACTTGTAAAAACTTAGCTACAATTCAGAGATTAAATATTTCACAGTTCTGTTTGTGAAGTTAAAAGGGATACAAGCATGGACTGAAGTCTGAAATTAAGTTTCAACTTTGCAGTAAAATGTCAAAACAGAAAGAATTTGGAGAGTTTTTATTTCATGACATTGCATCTTCTGTCTATGAAGACACATATTTGTATAACATCTATTAGCTGAACTACCAGAGCTTCTTTATTTAAAAGGTTGTTTGTCCAAAGTTGACATTCCTACATTTGTTTTGCATGGGATCAGAGATTGTTATGTGAATATTAAAGCCAGGTTTTATCCTAATCCAAATTAAAATACATAAACCACAGAGAAAGGGACTGGAAAAAGGTCTTTTTCTTACACACATATGAAGGAATAATGATTTGTGAATCTGAGCTATAAAAATAGTTTGGCATTAATGTATTCCACATGTTCTATAGATACCCATCCACAAAAAAATAGGGTTTTTTCCCATTTCTATCACCCTATGCCCCTAGGTAGCTCTCTGATTGACAGCTCTCTGATTCTTTAATTTTATTTTTTTTCTTTTTCAACCAGCTGATTTTAAGACTTGAAAAAATAAGAGAATGTTTTAATAAACTTAAACTCAATTAATTTTTGTTTTCTTTTAAAGAACCAAAATTTGTTGGCTCATGCATGATCCCTGACAATGAAGACCATGATGATAACAAAGTATATTTCTTCTTTACTGAAAAAGCATTAGAGGCCGAGACAAGCGCTCATGCCATATATACCAGAGTGGGACGCGTATGTGCGGTAAGATCTTTTTTCTGATTCCCCAGCTAAATGAAAAAAAAAAAAGCATGCTTCTTGCATGGGTCTTTCTCCCCCAGGCAAATATGGCATCTGTTAAGGTATGTGAGGATAAGTTATAGTTCTGAATGAAAATCCTACATCTAAACAGCCTCAAGAAATAAAAAATTCAAAAGCAATCTGAATTCTGGGCTTGAAGCCGAATTTCGCTGAGAGAGGAGGGCAAAGTTCAGAAATCTTGTTATTCAACTCCATTCCTTTGTTCTGATATGTGGTAACAGCAATGGCAGTTGCCCACAGGACTCTTTTACCATCCATATTCTCAATTCAGATCAAGGTTCCATCTCCCTTAATGCCGGTTGTAGGTCCAGGGCCTCTTGCAGCTCTCACAGCTGACATAAGTTGGTGTCTCCTCACATTCCTGGTGATGAGACCAGCCCAGACACCATTCCTCTCTGACGTTTCCTCTTTCTTTCCTAATCTGTCATCAAGGAGGACACTTAACTCAGCTGCATTCATGGTGGATAAATGGCTATTCTATCAGACATTTGGCTTTTGCAGCCAGCCGGACAGGACAAGAGGCAACAGGCATAGATTGAAACACATGCACTTCTATCTGAACATAGGAAAACATTTTTTTACTGTCAAGGTGGTTGAAGACTGACACAAATTGTACAGAGCCTCCATTCTTGGAAATATTCAAAACCTGACTAGACACGAGTCTGAGCAACTTGCTTAAAGCAGCTTGTTCTGAGCAGGGCGGTTGGCCTAGATGATCTCCAGAGATCTCTGCTAAATTCAAAAATTCTGTGATTCCATAAATTTTGAAAACCTCTTTCTCAGGCATAAATAGAAGGGATGCAATGTCAATCATATATAAAGTGTTTTATAAATACTAACTACTCTTTTCATTTCATCTATTATTCTTCTTAACAGCAACTAATGAAAATTCTGCAGATAGGAAACTAGAACAAACGATTGAACTGCCCCGCAAATTATTATTGCAGTCAGGCATAAAGTTTACCAGAAGGAGCAGAAAAGTCACTAGCAGAGACCTTGCTCACCTACTACTGTACACAATTACCTATTTCCTGCTCAGGTCAAATTTCTGGTGTATTGATCTCATCTCTTTTTGGATACCTGGCTCCACACATAGGAAGGAGATCTCAGGCAGTTACTGACGAGGAGCACACTTAACATAAGATCTCCCAGATTAAACTGTCCATAATTGGTCCTCTCTGAACAATTGATGGAGTTTGGGTGCATTCTTTTTCTATTAATTGAACTACAGTAAGGCTGATGTAAGGAGTTCTCCCATTCCCACTGGGACTACATCTGCTTGATTAAGGGAAGGAATGAGAAGTTTATTTCTTAGCATCTGATTTTGTTTCTGAAAAAATTGCATTCTTCCTTCCTAACTGTATGGGATACATTCCTAAATCTATTGGGCAACAAGTAAGATGTAAGGTAAAAGTCTTCTGTCACCTCAATGCATAGTATATGTCACATATACTCAGCAGCATACTACCTATAAAAATCTCTTAAGGGATATTCATGCATAACTTAAAACATCTGAAGTATGCAAAGTACCAAATTGCAGCCTAAGACATTAACGTTCACAAAGCCAGCTGGCTTTCTGAATTCAAGCCTGTATCAAGATCTGAAGTAGAATTATTTGGCATATGTTCTGGTAGATGTCTGAATAGACTATTTTAATAACTCCGTCTAGTCTGAAATCTCTCCATCTAAATGTCTTATATCTAGCCATGGGTTAAACCAAAATCCCACGGACCTTCCTCTTCCACTTGTTCAAAACTCCAAAAGCTTTATCTTCTGCATGGTAACTTCGCATCCATATGCTATAATTAAAATTTAATGTAATGAATACAAAAATTAGCTAGCTGGTGAATCAAAAACTGGTTTTTTTTCCAACTTTCACATTTTCATCTGAGCTGTAACAGGTTTTGCAACACATAGGCACCTACTCTGTATATTTCTACTTTTCTGAGGAAAACACATTTCTGTTTTTGTAAGATCTCCTTGTGAATCTTAGGAAATCAACTAATTTCAGTAGTTTAGAGGGAAGCTGTGAAAGGAATTTTACAAGCTTAATACAGAGCCTTCAATAGTCAGTTACACAGTCTAGCTGAATATAAGGCCATAGCTTTGAAGATGCTACCCAAAAGTTACAGAGTCCAATTACTAAGTAGTACTGAATGACCCCTTTTTTTTTTGACAGTAGACATTTGCTTCAGAGCTGCCCCAGCTGTGCCAGCTCTATAGATAGATTCAGGGCTTCAGTTTCCAAATATGTTGATCTAACACTGTACTGAGCTCCTAAAGCAAAGCTAAACTTTGTTAATGTATTCAATACATGCCATTAAAAATAAAGAGAACTAAAAAAGCTTTACAACAGCTGAATCTTTAAAACTATCCTTGAATGCAGTAGAGAATTAAAAAATTCTTATAAACCCACAGCTCTTAATGAGACCTGGACTTGATCAAAGCAATCCTACTTGAAAACCAACTCCAGACAAATAATACTGGTAATAGACATGTTGTTTGAAAATGTGTGCTTTTGTTATTAAAAGATACAATAAGCAGCTAATTCAGCAGAGATGTTTGTGGTTCTAGACTTACTCATTCAAGTTATCATCAGCATTTGTTTCTTTCTATGCAGAATGATATGGGAGGCCAGCGAATGCTTGTGAATAAATGGAGCACTTTCCTCAAAACCAGGCTAGTTTGCTCTGTACCTGGGAGAAACGGAATTGATACACATTTTGATGAATTAGGTAAACTTCCTAGGTTGCAACGGACTTAAAACCATTATACAAAACATATACCTTCATGATAACAAATATTACTGTGAAACAGCATACTTATATTCTTTAACAAGGAAAGGTTGTTAGTGTTTTGTTTCCAATGTATATGAAGTCCTCTACAAATATAGCTGACTATAATCAATTATGCCTTTATGTATTGCATGGTTTTTAAAAACTTCTTTTAACTTCTATATAAAATTCAACTGCATATATGAGTAAAATAGGATCACACTTTTAGCAAGCAATGAAGCATCTCAGGCTGAGAAAAGTAATTGTCTACTAATAACATTGCATTTCAATTTTACAGAGGATGTGTTTTTGCTGCAAACTCGTGATAATAAAAATCCAGTGATATTTGGCCTCTTCAGCACTACAAGGTAAACAACTAGAAGAAATAATAGCAGCAATAAAGGAATGTTTGAACAGCCTACTGAATTGATAGAAGCTGCATGATAAATATCCCTTGGCAAATAAAGAGTAAACAGTTTAATCCTTGTTCTACTCACAGTGGTATTCCTTGCTAATGTAAAAACTGCTCTGTGAGACTCAGAGGCCTGAAGTCTTATTCAGTGATCCAGTCTATCTGGATCATAAGTTAGTTAGATGTTTCTCTGCTTGAAAATTTTCTAGTGTCAAAGTATATGCACTTCTGCATGCTTATATGAGCCATCTATCAAAGCCACCTGTCTTCCTTTAAGAGCTCCACTGTAATTCAAGTTTAAGGAGATAATAGATTAAATTCCTCCTAGTTTCCTAGTGAAGCCTAAAACACCAGCCGTAATGTTGCCGGTGTCCTCCTTTTCCACTGCAGCTCAGTTCCAGTGTAAGCACACTGTACCTGTTTCTTGGAGCTCCAACTGTTAGCTTAGGTGTAGCTGGCAGAGAAGAGCAGCTGTGCTTTTGTCACTATTTCACTCTGCTGATTTTTTTCCTTTTTGGAAGAAAGCAAGGCAGATCTGTCCCTCTAGGGACACAGACACCTAGCATTTCCTACTGGTTCCCTATGCCAGTAGAAAGAGATGGACACCTAATTAAAACTACCTGGATCAACTTCTGGAGTCTTCAGAAACAATGACTCTGTAGAGAACACTGATACTTCTTAATAAGAAAAAAAAAAGAAAGAAAAAAAAAGCTTCTCTGGAACTAAGGGCATTAAATTTAAAAGTAAAAAATGACACTTTTATGTGGATTGATCTACATAGATTTATCTTGATGATCTAACTAATAACACCAACCAACATTATCAGTCAATATAAAAAGACTCTATTTCAGTCAGCTCTGGATGATTCCCATCTTTCTGAAGTAAGAGCAGGAAAAATCTTAGACAAAAAAAATGGTTAACTGTTTAAGTCACTAATCAAAGTCTTATGAGACCTGAGTTCAGTTTGCTGCACTTCTGTTGTGTTCAAAAAACAAGTAATTAAAAGTCTGTATTCACCATCTTCAAATTTTGGTATAACAACACAGAGCTTCCTCCAAGAAATGTGTTATAAATATAAATACATTAAAGACTGTATAAAGAACATTTGTCATGGTAGTAATAAGAAAAACATATAGGAAATAAAGTATTTTTTTCCCTGAATACAATTGAAATATGACTTATTTGGAATTACAAAATAATGCTATCATTATATATGCAGAATGTGACATATTGCTTTAATAATGTCTTTGAATTTTACTTCATAGCAATATATTTAGAGGATATGCTGTATGTGTTTACCATATGGCAAGTGTCCGAGCAGCTTTCAATGGACCCTATGCTCATAAAGAAGGACCTGAGTACCACTGGGCTCTATATGAAGGAAAAGTACCTTACCCTAGACCTGGCTCAGTAAGTACAATCTATTTTCCATTGCTTTACTGTGTAAATGAATACAGGAAGAAAAAACAGACTGCTGCTAATGTACAAATCATCTTGACTTCACACTCCACGACGTATTTATTTGTACATATAAATATACTCTAACACTTCTGAAAAAGTCTAGAATGGCTCAGCAATAAGTTTAATCAAGTACTAGAACCGTACATTTCCAAAGGAAAATAGTGGAATTAAGTACATAAAGTTTTTAAAAAACCTGTTGGGACTTAAATTTAACAACCTTGTGCTAAGGTACTAAGGTCCCAAAGTTAGGACACCAGGCAACAGGGACAGAAAGAGCCACCTCTAGAAGGTGGGTCAGGTGCTGTGTTCAGAAGTGGTAAGTGCATTATCTGGGAAGGAACCTCACTTCCTATGGAGCCTAGAATGGCTGTTCTTTTAAATTTGGCTGCTGACATATTTTGTATTTCTGAGCCTTGACAACTTTTCTCTTATTGCCAAAGAAATAAATGTAAAATCAAATTTATTTTAGTGTATCGAGTGAGCCATTTTCTAATAGAACCTTCTGGAGAATAAATTGTCCCTACTGACTTGACTTGTAAAAATCAAGCCAGGATGAAGTAGAAAAATGTGCCTTTATTTACATTAAAAATATAAAAAAGATACATGCAATATTTTCCAATGTAAATAAGATCATGACTGGAAAAAACAAGTTCACACAAGGCATTTCACTTTCCTTCTATTGTCTGCCGAAACCAGGGCATTTAACAAGTGTTAAAGGAAGAAAAAAAAAAAGAATTATCCACTATTTCAAGTTCAGGTGGTTCTGGTTCTTTTTTTTCCTGTCTTTTTCAAAAGGGATCAAAGTTTAATATTTCTATAATTTACTTCAGTGCACAGGTTAGAAATGAGATGTAGATTTTTTTAAAAAATGTAACTGATCAAAATAAACATGTTTGTAGATAAGGAGTAAATCCTCCATCATCTGAGGTCATAGAAGCAATGGTCATATCCTCACATTCATTGGTTTGCTTTTAGACATCACAGAATGATATTTTATAATCCTCAAATCAGGTTCCTGAGCTTACTAACATTCTTGTTCTGTACTCTTTACAGAGAATACAGAAATATTAAACCAATGTTGCAAAGAACTAAACTCAGAAAAATCACTCATGCTTTTCCTTAGTTTTCACACAAGCTTCTTCACAAACTTTTTTTTCTTCAAATGGATTGTAAGTGAAGAAAAGAAACAAGACATATTTTGAAAATGCAATTAGTCTATCAACTATTGTAGCATGCACCAAAGCTATCCTGGTGCTGTCATGTAGAGAGCTGTTCCCATCTGGCATTTAGATTTTTCATTTGGTAAACAGAAATTCTGGAGGAAATCACAAACGTTATTTAGACACAGGTAATAGATTTCTACAAGGATTTCCTAATTTCTGTGTTGATTTCTCAAAGGCGTCACAAGTAATCTTCATTCCAGACTCTTTTGCCATTTCACTCTCTTTTTAGGTGCTTCTGACGTTCCTATCCCTGTAGTATCTCAGCCCAGGGCTCTCACATCCCAGCTCTGGGGAGAGGGGAGCAGTCCCACATTGACAGTCTGGCAGTGTGGCTTCAAGGTGCTCTTTGCAATTGCAGAGGCCCGTCATCATCTCACAGATGGGGCACAACCACGGCCTCCCTCACCTTCCCCTTCCTGCTATAAGTCAGAGAGAGTACCACCACAGCAGGCAGAGCCAAGCTAACCCAGAGAAGCAATACATCCAGGATTTCTTCTTCTCACACCTTTTGGGAATACAGCTACGTACCCACCCGTGGCAATGTCCTCTGTTGCAAAGCTGCTTTTGTTTATGCTCACTGAAGGTGAGCCTTATCATGTCAGCATTGTGAAGCTTTTGACTCTGTGAGATACAAAGACATTTTTAATAGCTGTTTGGCTAAACCACCCCCCCAGTTTCCACATTTTGTCTCTATCTTCTTGCAGGCTAGGGGCTCGCTCTCTTGATCTTAACGGTGGAATAAACAGTTGCTGGAGCATTACTTTCAGTGTTGTTTTTCCTTTGCTAACTGAAAAAATATTCTCTTTTATACTAAAAGCAAGCATTTGCAGAAGTAAACATTGCTTACAATTCATTTATCACTGAATCGCAGGAATGAGAGGTGAGAAGGCCTATTAGCTTATCTAGTCCATGCAATACAACCTTTCTCCCTGTAGTATGATTTTGAATGCATGTCGTCTCTCATTTTAAATTAATGTTTTCCTTTGCCTTTCTTGGGGTTAGAGACTTGAGTCAAAATGCAGAAGTGGATGCTCACAAAAGAGATTATCTGAGATTTAACATTATGAATATGATTTGGCCATCTTGTCCAATTAGCTACCACTGTAGCAGTGCTGACATCAATACCAAATGGTTTTGTGCTTGTTTGATGTGGATCAAAGTCAATCATTGGTACTGAGTCAGGATAGGAAAACAGAAGAGTAAATATCAACTGTTGAGCAAAACAGTTGAATTCAAAGGAATTATTAGTTTCCGAGTTCACATTTTGTATAGCAAATCTAGAGTTTTTACAGTTTTACCAAATAATGAGACAGTGTCAGGTATGCATTACAGAATGGCTTTATATTTTACAAAGATGATACGGTTCTTCTTTAAGTGGTATTCATTTTTTTTTCCAGGCAGTAGAACAGCTCACATATGTTATTAGAACTAGTGTTAAACACAGGCAAGAATTCAGTATTAATGACTAGAGTCATTACATTGGTATTTCCTAGCACTGAAGATTAAATGGTGATTTCTTGGCAAGAAGGAGAGAACACTAAGCAAGTGCTTCAGCAAAGCTGACAATGATTTATAGAAAGACTGCCCTAAGTTCTACTCACTTTCGATGCTTCTCTCCCTTGGCTCTGAGTGGCCATGTTCGGGTCAGACTGGATTGTAACCTCCCCAAAATGCAAGGCATCAGAGCTGAAACAGATGTAAAAGAACACAAGTAATTTTTCCCAATATCATGGAATGAGTTAGTTGAGGAACAAGGTCTTTCCTGGGTGTTAATCGATTTAATCATGTTTGTCCCTATATGTTGTAGAGGCTGAAGTAGCTGATTCTGCCAGCTAACAGAGGATTAATTGATTCATTTTCAGCTGCTCATTTAGGGCAAAGTTTAGAGGTGTTCTCAATGCTTTTCCAGTAGCATGAAGAGAAAGCATGTTTCAGGCTGTAGCCCACAGTGTTAGGTTTCACACTCCAAAGAAAAGGTCAGCATATTGGTCACCTGAATCCCACTACCTTTCCCATTACAGGAGTGACAGTGACAAGAGGCCAAAAATAACCCACTGGTAGGCATCTCTGAGAGTCAGCATTCTTTGATCTTAGCTATTGAGTGGGTAAAGATGGAGTCTATAAGGAATGAGAGTAGAGGTTAAAGCTAAATAAACAGAAAACCACCGTTAAGAGTCATACTGGATCTGACAGACTCTGTAATCACTGTTTTCTGAAGTCTACTTGAAGCACTGCTTCTGCCATAAGCTCTGCTCCTGTTTTCCTGATTCTTTTAGTGCATTTAGACTGTGATGCTTCTGGGAATGACATCAGTTACCTCAAAAATGGTGTTGATATGTTTCAGAGACAGCTGCATCTACTGTTTCCTTTCTAGATGACTTGATTTTATTTCATTAAAAATGAAAAGCCTGGGAAGGATTATTTTTATTAAATCTCTCCAGGACTAGAACTTTGCAAAGGGATCCTAGCAATGCCTACTCTCTTGATATTCTGTGCAGAGCATAGAAAGCAGCGGCTTAGCCTGTCTTCATGCTCCAGCTCTGTCTCCTTATTGCAAACAGCTAGTGAAGTTCCATGACCAGGCTGATTAGACAATTACTTTAAAGTCAGCATTGAACAAATACTTTTCTGTAGCTAAGCCCAAAAAGTGGAAACAAACATTGTCCCACTTGACAAGTGCAGGAGTTTGTTATTGTCAATTGCAGTTGACTACAAGTTTAAAATTACTGTTTCCAGTAAACATAAAGAGTATTCTATTTCATTTTATTGATTGAAAAATCCAATTTAAATAGGGAAAGGCTGCTACTGTGGCTTTTCTTGAATACTTCTTAAAACCACACTCTCTTATGAATATTTGGAGAAAATAAAAGGTCACTGAGATATTTCTAGTTTGATCATAAATGGTTTCAATTAGAAGTCATGAAGCAAATTAGAAATGTAGAATCTATGTTCCATTAAGGAACACTATATCCTTCCCAAAGCACCCTAAAATTAACTTCTCTGTTTAACACATTAAATCATCCTTAATTGCACATCTGACCAAAGGAGTAAGCCTCTTTTAATCAATCATTGACATAAAGTCTCTTTGCTTTGCAAAACAGTATATTGATCAATGCAAGCATTGGTATTTCAAGCTAAACCATGATATATAATAGGGTGTTGTTTTTAATATAGGAACTAGAATCAAATGCAATACTGTTAGAATGCCTGAGATCGAGAATTACTGTTGCTGCTGGCATCATTTTTAACTGTGCTTAGTTTATGGTAATACATTTTGCAATCAAAAGCAGTAAGACTAGACATTGATTTCAAGCATTAGTGTTCTGCTGACTTCACATGGCTTTGTCTCTACTGAGATAGGAAACTCCTTTCTCCTAACACAGTCAATGGAAATTCTGATTTCTCTTCAGGAGGAATTTGGGAAAGATGTAAGCACTATGGGTTTTGTCATTTATTTATTCTGCTGTTAGTATGCCAGAGAGGAAGAAGCTCACCCTTTCTGATCATGACTATGCCAAGGCTCTGTTCAGCATTCCCTTTCATGATTAATAACCCACACATGCATAAAGCATAGAATTCACTGCCCCAATTCTTACTGTGGACTTCCGTGCCTGTTTTTATGCCAGGTTTTCTGTAGACTTGTCATTATCTCTGAAAACAAGTCCTGTTTCTGACAATTTATTTGGCAAGCCTTCAAGGTATTTTATGTTTTTGCAGTGTGCCAGCAAGGTGAATGGCGGCCTGTACACTACCACCAAAGACTATCCTGATGAAGCTGTCCATTTTGCCAGGAGTCATCCACTGATGTATCAGCCCATCAAACCTGTTCATAAAAGACCAATTCTAGTTAAAACGGATGGAAAGTACAATCTTAAACAAATAGCAGTGGATAGAGTGGAAGCCGAAGATGGACAATATGATGTCTTGTTCATTGGCACAGGTAAAATAAAGCAAGCAAGGGAGAAAATTGATTTAATAGGGTGTTGTTTTTAAAACAATCAATTTGTGCACAGTCCAAAAATAAGAAATCAGTACAACATTCCTTTCTAACAATCATTCTTTGCGTGACTGTGCCAGTCTTAACCTTACAGAGGAGGGGAGTCATTCTAGACATGTGCTTCACTGTACTGATAACATCATACAGAAAAATAATGGAAGGGAAACATTTAAAGAATAGGAAGAAAAACTTAAGTATCAGATTCCATTTCTTTTTTTATTATTATTTCCAAACAAGAACCTTAAATTAAAATCCTGGACAACTGGCCTTATTTTTAAAATTTCAGAACACAATCACATATCTGAGCATACTTCTGAGCTGTGACCTAGAGACCTGAGAGAAACAACAGTGATATGATTTTCAAAAATATCAGTTCAAGTTATTGGCTTTATTCCACAGTTTATTTTCCCCAATTCTGGAGACCACAAATCTAGCTAATACTGTTAAAAAGAAACTTCCATCTTCCAGATTTGGGTTACAACTCAGCTCAAGGAAGGAAGGAGGAAATGCCCGAGTTTCTTAAAAAGAAACTGTTAGAAGTTTTCTGCCAAGGTTTATTGTCTGTCTTCTGTGCCATTTTCAAAAGACACAGAGAGCTTGTTTAAAGTAGATTTTTAAACATTTACCAAACAAATATGGTTAGGGTAAAATATATCATAGACCTGCCCTAACTCTAAGCAACCATAGGAAAAAACACATTCTAATGGTATCTGGAAAATCAAAAAACTTTAGAAAATAAGTGGAAAGCCTGGAACTAGAAAATACTTTAGTCTCATCTAATTTGTCTGGAAAAAATCCAAAGATTCACAAAATTCACATTTTATCAATTTAACAACAGGAGTGGTATCACAAATCATTTTGACCATTTTGTTTAGGAAAGCAGTCACAGTGAATTATTTTTTTACTAATGAAATTCCTCTGATAAGCACATTTCAGTGTTGAGAACACTCAAAAGAAGCATGTTTGTAGAATAGCAAAGGCATATTTATATTAGTTCTGTTTTCTAAGGTTTGAAACAGCCTCAGTATGGTCTCTGTACTGGACTTAGCATGGTCAATAAAACATTGTGTCATGTGTCACTTATTTCTTTATATTAGATTTTATAGTAGTGCCTAGAATTTTCATATATTCCACTTGCATTTGTGACTGATATACTGTATCAAATACTCTTGTACACGTCTTCTGTTCAGTAAATTTGAATCCAAGGTGTATGCCTTAGAGCTGTGCTGGACTGGCACCCAACAGCTGCTTAGTCTTCTTGAGATGTCTAATCCCAGGTGCCATGAAATTCCAGTATAGGAATTTGGGCTTTAGAAACTCCAAAACAAACCCTGCAATCTCTGATAGGCAAAGCTCCCATCAAAAAACTCACTGCTTTCCTTGGCTATATAATGTTAGAAAGGGTTAATCTTTTTTTATCTGAGCACAACACCTGCTGTGTAACATAAGTAAACTGGGCCTTACAGTCAAGCAGAAGCTTCCTCTGGGTAGCAGTGCAGGTTAGAAAGGTTCATCAAAGGAAAGTCTGAATGCCAGCACTAACCTTCACATATCTGTCAGTGAGATTCGAAGAGGGACTTGTGAAAATCAGAGCTCAGACTGCAATTTCTTTTTACTGTTCTGTCACAAAATGGATGCTTTTGATTGCATATTCTCTTTGAGAAGCTGCGTATGACCCCAGTTTAATGGTTCCTCTTTATGTTTGCCCCTTTGATCTTTTCTGAACATTTTTCCTAGTGCTTGTCAGCTTAATATTTCGCCTGTAAATCAAAGGTGACTGAAGGTAACTGAAGAAAGGAAGTCATATTTGCCACTGTTGATGATAGATTTTCGGATTAAGGAAAGCAAGACTACTCTAATAATAGCCAGCAAGACAAAGCTGAAGTCATGGAAGATCAGATGCTGTTCATGTGTTTTCTTTTCCTGCAAGACTTATAGTGACAGAGAGCCTGACAGACACAAGCTCCAATGTGCCTTAGACTTTTTGAATGTGCAGGGGTTCTTTAGGTTCATCTTCCTTTGATTAATACCTTCAGCTCAACAACAGCTCAGTGTTTCCCTGGAAGAGGATGAGAACTGGGGACAATGAAACTCTGTAGGTCTTTGTACTCTTACCTGGAGGAACAGAGCTGCTGCCAGCAATTAAGGATAGTTAGTAGTTTCCTAACTAGTGTAAACACTCATATCTTATAATTAAAGCCTCTTCACACTCCCTTGCTTTAATGGATTTAGCACCTGCCTACTCTCATTTTTTTAATCTGAAATATGGCAACCCTCTTTCATCCTTTTGCAGCTCACCAAGGGATTACGACCTAGAGTCCGAAAAATACAAAACTATTAATCTTATAGCTCAGAGGTGTTTCAGCTGATTCATATTTGCCAGGGAAAAATTGACATGTGTTTTATTTCTAAGAGTAAGAATCCTCACCAGTAAGAGCAATATGCAACTACCTGTACTTATTTATAAATTTCTGTTCATAATAATAATTTTGAAGAAGTAATTTAAAGTATTTGAAGGCTACAGAAATGTTTCCACCAGTTATAACTTTTTTTGTTTGTTTTGTTATTTTAAATTGATTCCCAGATAATGGAATTGTGTTGAAAGTCATTACAATTTACAATCAAGAGACAGAATCAATGGAAGAAGTGATTCTTGAAGAGCTGCAAGTATTTAAGGTGAACTGTGTTTTATAGGAAGCATATATACAACTGTCTTGAATTATCTGTAGAATTAAAATGTCAAAAAAATCTAAAGACAGACAAATATATAATAGTTATGAGCAAGAAATTTTCTAACTATCAAGCTATTTTATGACAGGAAATCTTCATTTTCAATTGAAGTTTTTCTGAGGTGGAGTTATAGTCCAAGTACTGAAACATATGGCAACAAACCAGGACTGCTGTCTTTCTGTTTACATGCTTGGGGGCTGTAGTGTGACTTATCAATTAGAAACTTACTGCATTTTATTTTATTTTATTTTTCCTTATATCCAATTAAGTATTTAAAGGGTATAGAGAGAATGTGCCTACTAAATCTTGGAAGAGAAGTATGTGCCTACTTAATCTTGGAAGCTTAAATGAGGTCCAGATAATAAAAAGCTTAATCCTAAGAAAGAGCAAATCAGTTAATCTGTCTTTACAGTGGAAAAACCTGAGTTCTAGCGAGGCAAAACTCCATCTGTTTAAGAATAAGCCATGACTAAAGCTCAGTATTTGCTGTGTGGCAAACCCAATATAATTAAATTATCTTAGTATTTACCTCATGTCATGTCAGCCATATGAAGTAGGAGGGTAACATACTTGCAACCATAGGGAAAAATCTAACATCCAAACTTAGAAATTTAAATCTGGTACCCGCATTTAGCATTGCTTGGGGCAGAAATCACAGAAATTGCCCCTCCTGGTAAAGCTGGTTTTGAATAGACCTTTTAGGGTCTATGTCTTGCCATTGCTCCAGGAAATCTGAGCAGAGGGCAGAGAGGAAAATGGTAAGAGAAGGATTTCCTGCTATTGTCTTATCTTCAATGAATGTTTTGTTATAAAGAACACTCCACTTATCGCTTTCAAGGACAAAAGAGATTCAGTGGTGGCAAGAGCTAATGTCATGTTTGACAGGGAAATTGTAGTGTTCCTGTGGTACTGATAATCTTGAACTAAGTATTGGCTGGTTGTTTTTAAATGAACTCTTTTAAAGCAATGCTTCTGAAACCCACAATATCCTCACATCTTTCTGTAGCATCAGAACTTTGAGGAAGTAAAAATTTCTAGCAAAGCTGAATATAATAAGCAAACACCAACATTATTTTACCTAATGTATTGTCATAGCAAAAAGGTATTCTTTTTTCTAAGCAAGGAAATATTTTGTATTTTCTAGGTGCCAGTTCCTATTATTTCTATGGAAATCTCCTCAAAAAGAGTAAGTATTTTGAAAGTTTGAAATATGAAGATTTAATCTCTAAAGTAATGAAGCTATAGACTGTATAGAGATCAATAGATACATACATAGGTGGATGTACATCATCTATAATGAGATCTGGTTTGATACCTGTAATCCTTTCATAATATAAACTTATGGTTATATGTTCTGTTCCTTTCAGAAGCATTTAAGTTGTTCAATTCTAATGTTAAATCTCCTTAGTTCACACTATCACTCATATCAAAGCAAGTAAAACCCAATCTGTTTCATGAGTTTGTGGCATAGTAATCACAGTAGGGATTAGTTTAGTGGACATGGCAACTCACAGAAAAGCTCCTTGCTGATAAGTGCAGACAGACTTCAGCCCCATTAGGGATATCAGTGCAGAAAGCCTTGCTGGGTCTCCTACATATTCAGTGGCCCATGAAAGGCAGAGCTGTTTGGATCTGACTCCCTTTTGAGTTTCTACTAATATAAACACCCAATTTATTATTCTTGTAGGTAGATTCTCATCTGTACCATATTGTAGATATCTGTACCATATCACCATATCATCTCGGGCATGATGGAGTCATAAACATCCTAGGAGAATTATATCTTAATAGATCTTAAGCATCCCACACAATATAAGTGCACATAAACGTAATGAAGCATAAGAAATAAAGAATGAAAATTGCATTGATAGGTGTGAGTGTGCCCCAAAGGATCATTTTAACCTTACTGTCCAGTCAACTTGCATTCTTTCTGTAGGTAATCTAGAAAGACAAAATCTGATGGTGATTTAGAGAAGGAGCTTAGGTGTAAGTATTTGGAATTATTTCTTCGATCAAGCAATTTTTTTTCCATGGACTGTGAAAACAGCTCTGGATTGTCTACCACTGCATTTAAGTGATTATTTGGAGAAAGACTTTGGTGTCATTTCAGATATTTGCCTTACCTTGAGCTCCCAGTGAAATGTCATCATAAAAGAGTTGTGTTGGAAGGCTAAAAAGGAGATACTGTATAAAAAGAGTAGTAGTTTTCCTCCATTGCATCCAGCTCCCAAGAGGGCTTCTAACTCTACTAATTGAAGTATTATCTGGAAAATCTGGAGATAATTGTAAAAAAGCCACCAAAGCAATCCAGTAGTTGAACAGTAAGCCTTTGTGTGAGAAGTAAAAGTAGCTTAGCTTTTTCAAGGTATCAGACAAAAGACTGAGACAGAACAGGATTGACAGATACAAAATTTTACCCAACAAAATTACTTCCTAGTGCATGGAATTCTAGTGCATAGGGATTCTTGAACTCTGATGGCAAAGCAACATCAAGATTAAATAACAAAGTTCAACTTGTTGAATGTAGCTAAACTTGATCTTGAAATATGATGAAGTTTTTTGATAATGGGGACAATTAACTGATGAAATACATGTTAGGGTCAGGGTTGGCATCAAGTCATTTTATTTTTAAAATGAGATCCGTAAGCAGAAGTATATCTTTGCTGAGTTTATGTGAAAAAAATTTAAGTAGCTTCTCTGCTCAGGGATTCTGGCTGGTCTCTTTTGACCTTGAAGTTTGTGAGCCTGTGGATACCCCTTTGCTAGTTTTGCCTCAATATCCTTACAGCACTAACCAGTCTTCACTTGTCGTGGTTTAGGCCCAGTGCATAACTGAGCACAATAATGCCCCAAAAAGGGCTAGTCAAAATAAGGACTGGGAGGGCATCTCACCACTTAAACAGGTCACAGGCAAAAGACAGACTCATCATAAGGAATAAAAACAAAACAATTTCAATTTGTTACCAATATCAGAGTGGAACAATGGGAGATACAACCACCTTCCCCCCACCCCTCCCTTCTTCCTGGGCTCAGCTTTTGTTCCTGGTTTCTTCACCTTCCCCCTCCCCCTTTGCCTTGAGGCACAGGGGGATGGGAGTTTGCAGTCAGTTTTGCCATGTGCTTCTCAGGAGTAGGAAAATAAAACTCAGCCCAATGTCTCTCTCTGCTTACACGTGGCCCCCTTTCCATAGGGGAAAAAGTCCTCAGAAGTCCAATCCGGATCCCACGATCACAGTTCCCTCACGCATGAACTGCTCCAG